TGCACAGCTCCAGGCTATGCTTTAAAAACAGCTTTAGGGATCTCTATAGCTCAGAAACTCCATGGCTGTGTGAGACAAAGCAGAGTACTAATCCAGAGCTGCTGTGCTGTTTCAAATTTATTAAAGTTTGACAGGTTAACTCAGTACCCACAGACTTATTGTCAGTAGTAGTAATATTTTTATCAGGTAAAAATCTAGTTGGTCATAAACCCCAGAATGCAGTTTCTCTCACAATAGCATAGCGCGAAAGAGCAAGTGAGAGCTCGGGAAAGAAAAAATTCCTTTTCTTTTTAAAATAGAGGATAATTTGAAACTAATACTTATGACAAAATAATTTAATTTAATCTTACCAATACCCCAGTTTCCAGTAGCAAGGACTGTACCAATGCAAACTTAATCTTTAGAAAGAATCTGGAAATTCAATTTGAACACAAGAAAACACTTTTTTTACTGTAAGAGTAAAACACTGGAACAGGTTGCCCAGAGAAGTTGTGTGGTGTCTGTTTGTGGAGGTATTCAAAAGCCACCTGGATGTGGGTATGGGCAGCCAGCTCTAGCTGACTCTACTTGAGCTGCTGGGGATGGACTAGATGATCTCAAGAGGTCCCTTCCAACCTCAGTCATTCTAAGTAAAAAAGGCATAACTTCAATTTTCAAGTTTTCACACCACTGACAGCAACTGCTTCATTTCTCTTAGGCATTTATAAAGCATAGAGTTTGCTACATGTACCCTGGCACCCCAGTAAGACCAAATTAATCCTACCTATCTCACAAGCATTTTGTCCAGCTCTCTGGGCTTTTACAATGCCTAGAAAAAGAAAAATCCAGTTGAAAAAAAACCAACTCCATCTGGTATCAAGAAAGGTAGTTTGTTCTGTAGTTGCTGGAAAGCAGCTCTACTAATTAGCTTTTATTTCAAGAATTCAAGAATCTGGTGATTTCATTGTGCTGATGATTATTCTTTTTATTTTCTTTCTATTATTCTTTCTGGTAAAGGGTCCTTGTGACCGCCAGCATCTATCTTGCACCTAGATTGTGAAGTAGAAATAAGGAGGATGTAAGGAGGAGGACTTGTAGTACCTGTCTTAGAAGGCTGATGCAATGACATCATCCTATTTTTTATCAGGGAGAGCTTCTGAGGTGGATTTGGTGAAGAAGAATTTTCTTCATGTGATCCAGAACAGGAGACAACAACTATAACAGAACAAAACAAGACAAAAAAACAGGAAGAGTTTGGTGTTTCCTATGCTCCCATATTGTTAAACATGAACATCTATTCAACAAAGCCATTATATGATACCCACCCTCATTACAGTGCACTGATGCAGCACTGTCCTGATGTTTCAAAATAGCCCTACCACTTCCCAGAAACATGACTACAACAAAATGCATTACTTACTAATGTGTTCTTTACTATAGTTTATCCACTCCCATTTTTACCAGCATGTAACCTCTAAAGAGACACTGTATATTCCAGTAGCACAGGTGTGGCAGTAACAGTACATCTAGCTGCCTGTCAACAACCACATCTTTAAGGCATTCATGTTGGATGAGGCTTTGAGCAATCCGGTCTGGTGAAAGATGTCCCTGTCCATGGCAGAGGCATTGGACTAGATGATCTTTAAAGGTCCCTTCACACCCAAACCATTCTATGATTCTATGATTAGAAGAAGAGTTCAGCTGTAAAGTTGACCAAAAGAAATATATTTGTTTTCAGAAGGTGTTCAAAGACAGAGACACACAAAATGAGTTGTTTTCAGCCATGTGGGTTATGAATTCAGCAATATGAAAGCATGAAGTCACATCAGAGGAGAGAGGAATCCTATTCACATGAATTGCAGTTGAGACAAAGAGGTGTATACATGCCATTGATACCAGCTAAGATAGTCTCAACAGAACTAATTTGAACAGTAATATTATGAAAACATACAAAAGGATCTAGAAAAACAGTAAAAACCTAAAAGAAACATATGTTCAACTTTTTCAAACTCACCATTGCATTTAGTTTTTCAGCAGTGTTTGAAAAGCTGATTCAGCACATAAGACACTGACAGTGGTCTGCTAAGTAAGGTATCTTCAGTAAACATAAAATCCTCAAAAAGACTGAATTCTTGTTTGACCAGCCTTAAGAAAGGCTTGCCTTTCTTGGCCTGCCTTAAGAAAAATGATGGGGGAACCTCTTCATAAAACTGTCAAAAAGTCCACGCTAAAGATCAATCACATATTGCAAACAAATCTATTTCACCATATTAAAAGAAATACTGCTTTGGAAAGAGAACGAGATCTTTTGGCAACTTGAGTCTGCTCCTCCCAACTTACGTTCTGCGTCTGTTGAGGTGATGTTCAGTTCTATATCTCCTGATCTTTGTTAAGCACTGCTGTAGCTTCAGTATTTACTTCCTTCGGGGCTTTCTGTAAAGTCTGTTCTACTCTTTTATCTCCTCACAGGTTCCAAGCACCCAGTGTATTTTGGAAATAGCCTGAATAGCATTGGACCCACAAAATATAGTACAGTCACGGCAGA